TATCATGAAAATTATAAATATACGTCTTTTAGTCGATATGCACCATAACTTGAATGATTTTAATTTTGCTTATTTGCAAAAAATATGCAAAGACAAAACTCTACATGTGCACAAAAATTAATCGTATTTACAACATAGCTTATTGATAGCCGGTTACAAACTTTTTCAAAATTTATGTCATGGTTTGATCAATCGGTAGTTTATTATAGTTAACATAATCTCATATACATGTCTATGTGGATAAACTTTAACTTTCATATCTGGAAAAATATTTAGTCCCTATACAGATTGAGTTGATTAAATTGATTCGTTTAGAAAAATGCAAGATCTCGTTTAAGAAAGTGAGGAATTCGACTTTAACGTCAATGACACGATAATCTTATTTATCACTCTGCCAGAAGTCAATCGTTGACTCCTCCTTTGGCATTTCGCCAATCCATTATCGTGTGCATGCTCTGTATTTACACGAATCACAAGAATTTCAACATTGCGTAATAACATAACACATAAACATGTTTGGCACGTAACATGATTAGAGACGTTTAAGTTTAACAAAATATCGTTGCTATAATTATCTCACCAAATATTGCATTAAGAAGATACTGATTAGATTCGAAGATGATAATTCAAGAAAAAAAATGTGCAAAAATGAATTGCCGCAACTACATTATCATGTTCTAAAAAAAGTATTCCAATCTATCAGAGAGGAGCTGTTACATTATATAACATTATTTTCTTATTTTAAGTTGCTTTTTCTCTGCAGTATTACCTTCCTCAGGAATTGAAGAAATAGTTAATATCTAGAATAAGATATTGATATTATTTTTTTATCAAGTTGCTTTGTAGGAGAGCTTCCCTATGCTTATCACGTCGTGGCCTGACATCCAATCAATAACTATGCCATTGCTCCAAGAGCAATCTTGTCCGGAGATGCAGGGGCGGAAAAAATGACGTCATTCGAGACGCAAATGATTACTTTGAAGAAGTGCGTGGGTGTACGATACGGTAGTATTAAAAAGCTCGTCTCTCGTGACGCTCGACACGACAACAATCACCATAAATCGAGATGAGATAGTGAGTTGAAAGGTAATATTTATATAACAGAGAGAAACTCTTGTGGTAGGATACTTCTTTCAACTATATAAATTTTGTTTCATTGTAATTTACCCCTGAACTTTGATTGAAAACGAATGATTATCCCATCGTCTCTCTTCACAATCGCATAGAAATCGAATGATGTCATATGATCTTTTTCTATTATTTCTTTGCAAATAATTTTTCAAAATATAATAACTACAAGTTTTTTTCAAAAATATTTACACATAGCTAAAAATTATTGTCTTTATAAAATTATCTTTTTGAAAATATAAGTTGGCATATAATATTGTTGTGATATCTTTATAAATGTATTAAATGAATTCTTTTTTTTTGTTGCAAAAAAAAAAAGATATTTATTATTCATAATTAAAAATTAAATATTCCAGAGATGTTTCATCGCCTCTCTTCCAAAAGATATTTAACTATTTTTAACAAACATACTATGTATTTTCTAATATATATTTTCTATCAATGCTTCTTAATGCAACGATTATTAAATTTCATCCTATTATTTATTTCAATTGTTGAAAAGAGTGAATCATCGACTTAAATTGACGCAAATTTAAAAAATATTATAATATCATTGATTTACTCTCTTTCGTACTAAGTAAATAATTATCTTATCGCGCACAACTTCTCGAACTGGAAATTATTTATGTCAAATACGTCGATGCTGAAGTTTCAGATTGTTAAAATAATCTTACATAATCCGTAATATCAACGTTATTTTTTAGATAGTTTATCAACGTATATTTCGATAATTTTTAACAGTATTATATAATGCTTCTCTTATACATATTAAGAAGATATATCTTTATACAACACAGTAAGGAATAATCTCGAGGAAATACGCGTAAGAAGACATCGCGCAAAATACTGGGAAAGTAAGAAAGTTATTTTTTCGAAAAAGATAGTTTATCTATTTCTTTTTATCTATTTCTTACTCGCAAGAATAAAAAAAAGAAACGAATGTTTAGCTTACGTAAACTTAGCCGCAAGAACCATTTATTTTAAATATACATATACATTCACGAGTAGAGAAACAATTTAAATTTTATTTATGTTTTAAGTTTCGCTCTTGAGGTATTGACACAATAACCGATCTGCATATAAGCATGTAATAAATATTTATATCGTATGATACAGATATCGGGAAGCAAAATGCAAATATTACGTGATATAAAATTTTTGTGCTCATCCATGCGCACAAAAATTCAATAGTCAAGCAATTCGCGAAAAGCGATCGCGAAACGACCACGGATTTAAATAGGGCATACATATACATACATGTATGTCTATATGTATAAATGTATATGTATATGCAATTTAATGCAAAATATATCCCGCGGCGAACGCGGACAATGTCGCGTGGCCAACCACGTGATAAACGTCACCTTTCGTTGAAACTGCGGTCGGCAAATTAATACATACCAGGCCACTGATTGGCCAACGCCTCGTAGATCGTGGCCGGCCGAGCACCCGTTATGTTAATTTAATAAGTGTCGTTTCTTATAATTCTCTCACTTTCCGTTTGCTTCCCTTCTCGTCGCGGCGATCGAATCGAAGCGCAAATCGCGTTCGGTACACGCGGCGCGAGCACGTAAGCGGAAAATCGCGTTTAAATATAAACCCTTTATGCGATTTACGCCCACGATCGATCCCATTATGCGAGAATAACGAGTCGTTCCGCAATATTTTCGTATCGTCAAACTATCGTCCAAATCTTGCGACACAATTCTAAAAAAGTGCTCAAATATTTCCATAATTAGATGTTGTAAATAATCTTGCCAAAATATATACAGAATAATCTTTCGCTTTGAAATCAACGGATTTTAATTTTGTACAAAATCTCGCTACACCTAATAAGATTTTTTAATTTTTTTTAATTAAAGAAAGGCAGGTGAAAATGGCAAAAATTTGTTTCGAAGGCGATATTTAATATATGTAAAAAAAGGGAATATAATATAGAGCAATTTTTGTAGATATATGTATGAGAAAAAAGTAATAAATAATTATTTTAATTATCATTGCGATAGAAAAAACATGTGAAAATATAATGCATTAGAATATTTTCGCAAAACTTCTATACTTGTCGAAATTTTTTGAGTCCCTTGACTTCAAGCGAAAAAATAAAATATATTTCTCATTGTATCTTTTCCTCGGCATTTTCTCTGCATTATAGCCGCATATTATATTTCGAAAATTCGAGAACATCCGCGTTCTACTAAATTCGATCCACAGGCGCATGTGCAAGTAACTCGGGCGAAGGTCGACAACCTCCGATTGCTCGAACACATGATTTCTAGACGGATTCTCCAATTTCTAATCTGATTGATATTATTTCTTATCCATGAATTATCTTGTACATAAGGTAAAAAGAAGGAATTTCGATTTGATAATACGTATTTTAAAAAATGCGTAAAAAAGTGCGTCCTTTCAAAGACTGCATTCGAAAGTTGCGGAAGACGATCTATTCTATTTATAGATTGACGGGTCATATATATTTCACTTTAAATAATAAATCATGCATACAGCATCAACGTGGAATTATCTATAATATAGACGATGTATTATATTATTTTCTTTAATTTATGTAAAATAGATATTAATTCGAATTTTTTCAACGCCATAATTTAAAAAATCCTAATTCTTTGTATTTGAAATTATTTATTGTATATTTCATTTGGTTTGGTAATAATACATAAGATATTAAGATATTTTTGTTAAATCTATTACTCTTTCACGGCACGAGATTTATATATAAATGAAAAATACTATATATAAATGAAAAATACTATATATAAATATTTTGTTTTCGAATTGTGACTTGATCCAAAATTTAAATCAAGCTTTTTAATTTTTATTACTTTTTAATGTCTTTATTCTCTAAATTAAAATTAAAATTGAAGTCATATTTCATATCCATTTAAATCCAGTCATTTAAAAATAACTGAAAAATATATTTTTAATTTTTATTTAATAGTTATGAAAGAATATTAAGGAAAAATTGGGCTCATTTTTTTTAAATATATAATTTTTACTTTTCAATGTCTTTATTCTCTAAATTAAAATTAGAATCGAAGTCATATTTCATATCCGTTTAAATCCAGTCATTTATAAAATAATCGAAAAAGATATTTTTAATTTTTATTTAATAGTTATGAGAGAATATTAAGGAAAAATTGAGCTCATTTTTTTTCAATTATATAAATTTGTTTACGTAAGACTTATAGTTCCAAGACCGCGACTTAAAAACAGACTTAAAATGAGAAGGAATTTTAATCGAAATTACAAATTACGTAACACTTATTAAATATTAAATATTCACGCACTGGACAGTATTTTATTTGGCTGAAAGAATTGTTATCGCAAATTACATATATAAAAATGAAGAAGAGAGAAATATAAAATCAATTTCAATAGAGAAATTATAATTCCGGCATCCACGCATTACGCGTAAACGCGACACACCAAGTGGCCATGTAGTTAATAATGTTTGGATTAGTCGATGTAGGACGCGAGTAGAGACATGCGAAGGACAGAATCGACGTAAACAATACGCGTGAAAAAAACAAAAACGTTAGACGTTGGCGCTTGGCAAGATTCGCGCGTCGAAGAAATCGTTGCGAGCGTAGGGGAAGGGATGAAGGAAGAAGGAAGAAGGGAAAGGAGAGAGAGAGAGAGAGAGGAGAGCGGAATCGATCGGGATCGATTGTTCGCCGGCGACGCGGGGGATGTCGACCTCCGGCTGCAGTCTTCGGCCTGAGAGAGGGTTGAACGACTCTCCCCCTCGCCCCCAACCCCCACCCCCCGGCCCCGACTCTCGCAAATAGGCCGAGAGGAGGTTTGACACGCGCCGCGTCACGTCACGTCGACGTATGCTCCGACTTATGTAAGCTTACCTGCATCAACGGTACTGAGGTGACTTGCGCGAGGTCGTTGGATCTCGAGGCCGGTAGTTTCCCAGATGCTGGTTCGTCTTCCGCGACGGCGGGGATCGCGATAACCTCCTGCGGTTTCTCGTTGCGGGCTTCGTCCTTCATTGTCGCTCTCGGGTCCGGGATGATCCTCTCTCGTCGGGGTCCTTCCTCTTGAGACACACACGAGAACGCGACGACGGAAACGAGATTCCTTCGCCGGGATTGATTCACTCGCCGCGACGAGACTCGAGAGGCCCGTAAAAGGAGACTGCAATCGCGCGGGAGGGGAGGGAACCGCAGCGAACTTCCGAACGTAGTCGCGCGCCGCGACTGGTCGGGGAAGCGAGAGACGCGGGGCTAACTTCACACGGAGCGAGGAAGTTCCCCGGTTGCTTCCGTGCGCAAGAGCGGCGCGGCTGTCACGTGGTCGATTTCGCGAGCTTAACCGCGACGTAAAAGTATGTTACGGGTCTATAGATGGTAGCGGTATCGAAATACCGGATGATATCGTGCGCGGAGGAAGAGGAAAAAGAGAGAGAGAAAGAGAGAGAGAGGGAGACACCGCGAAACACACACGTTCGCGATACGACCAGCACCTTCCGCAGCTTACTTCGCAGCGACGATGCCACGATAGCGCAAAGTTGACCACACGACGAGCTAGACACGCGGGGAGGATGATATGAGCGGAAGAGACGAACGACGAACGAGGGGGTTCACTGCGAGAATCCCGTCACCTCGGCCCGTTCCGGCTCGCCCCACCCGAACCGAGCCGAATGCCGAGCGCGACTACGTACCCCTTCTCCCACTCCCTCGCGTGGCGCGGAGCACGTCCCCCCCTCCGCCTCCGCCGCCGCCGCCCCTCGCTCGCGGCGCGTCGCGTCACCCCCGCGCCCGTCCGTCTGACCGAAAGCGCCCGAAAGCCTCGCGCTGCCGACGATTGTCGCGTTGCGTCGATGTCGACATCTCCATCATCGCCAACGTCGTCGTCATCGTCTGAGAACTGAGCGGATCCGACGCAAAGGTTGGATGATCGGCCGCAATTAGCCGACATTGTTGGCACGAGACGCTGTCAAATGAGCTTTCGCGGTTTCGCCTTTCTTCCTCTTTCGGTCCTTTCTTCAAACTCTCTTTCCCTCGTTGCTCGCGTTAGAATCGCGAATCTGATTTTGAGGATGTGGTCGGTTTTATGCGGCAAAAGGAACGAATGTTTTTTTAACCAGTCTCAGCAGCATGTTGACATAGTGATGATTTAAAAACAAATACGTGTATATTTTGTCTCCCGCTTTTTCGGTTATTGGACAACGCGTCTGTAAATATGAATTTTTTACGCGGCAAAAATTGAAAATCGATTATGTTTCACTACAATATATCGAAGAACGTATCGAAATATTAAATTCCATTATATAATTACACGAATTCAGTTTTAAAAAACATTCGGAAATGAGAAAATGTCGTTCGATTAGCGAATATATTTTGTAATCTAATAAAATATATTTTATAATATTATATATATACAAAGAGAGAGAGAGAGAAAGAGAAAAATATTACGTTGTTGGATATAAAAACTAGGATATTAAATTTATAGAGAAATGTAAAAAAGATTGTTTTTAATAATATTATCAGCAACAATTACAACAAATAATATTCAGCGGGAAATATAAATAACTAATCATTTGACAGCTCCTTCTAATTTGTTAAAATTAATGAAAATATGGATATGTAATGATAATTTTGCTTTATTTCTTCATTTATATCTTAGATAAACGCAGATAACCTTATCCTGTTTCCGCAACAAGACCCGTGTTTCTCCAGCCGTCGTATTGTCTTCGCAGGATGTATTCTTGAAAGGTAACCAAATTAATAATATTTAAGAAGCTTCAGTAGGCATCGTCGTTAATTGTTTCGTGAGACCTAATATCGTGAGACCTCTGAAATAACAACTAAGAGAGGTGACCGTGACGCGATTGCGAAACCACAAAAGTGTTTGTTTACACGTGACTGACGAACACTGAGAGAAATATTTGTTGACTGTACAAGTAAATAAAAAAATAAGAGAGAAAAAAAGAAAAATATATTCTGCTTTATAATAATTTTCAAAAAACTTTTTATCTGCGATCCATCAGATCTCCCCTTTATTACGCAGAGAATTTTAAAAGATTACAATCTAAATTAATATTAATTTAACTTATCTCCAATTTGTTTTATATATATTATCTTTGATACATTGGCCTTTTTTGCGAAGAAATGAAATCGTAAGCAAACTTTGTCGTCTCTGATCTAACTGGTGATTTAACTTGAAGTTAAATCGATCTGACCTGACCTTAATTTCAATTATAAAGTATAAGATCTAGAAATCGGTACAAACACTTACAGTTTATTCGTTGTTATAGAAATTCGAGAGATTATTGTAGAATTTATTTTTTAAAGGAAGTACGTTATAACTATTTATAAAATAAAGAAACTTTTGTATATTTAAATTTTCGAACGATCATAAAACATTAATCATTTCTTGTTGATCGGTAATTTTTGGTTCTACTTAGCATTAAAATTCGCGCATTTTTTTATGTCACTCAATTAATATTTTCACGCTCTAGAAACTCAACATTATTTTTTTTTATAAAACATTAGCTTATCGCGTTTTATATATGCCGGAAATAATAACACGCAAACGTATAAATAATTGCGTTAATTAGATTCATGGATAAGCTCGTTAAAAGATCCAATCGTTCATAGACAATTAATTTTCCTCTCGAATTACTCGTACAATGCAACGATTTACGTATCGGCCTCATCGCGCCGTTTATTTCATCTAATATTCAACGGAGCAAAAAATGAAACTTATCGATGCGATCAGAAGTCTTCGATCGATAACAGTATTAAACATTTTTCGCGCCTAGGCACGTTTATATTGCCTTATTGAGAAAAGTATTATGCCTCGTATAATTATCTTGTGAACACACACTAATTGATTCGCTCCACTCCATTCTCCCTGATGATCTAATTAACTCTCGCGGTAAAACTCAATGATTTCAGGTTTACTAATGAAAAGACCAGTGATTGATCAAGCAACGATACAGATGCGGTATAATTAACGTACAATCTGCGAGTGATAAATCGATCGGCGGATATTATGTCTTTGTGTATCGCGCCGTCAAAAATACTCGACCGTAATGTATTTCAAGAATGGAAAGCTCCCTCGATCGCCCGGACGTTGGCAAAGAAAGAAAAGATTGGCCGATGGACGCAGAGCGAATTAATTTGCCGCTTTCTTGAGGAAGAATGTGTGGCACAATAATTATTGCATCGCGCACGATGCATAAGGTTGACCGTGTTCGCTGCACACATCGCGTGCATCAGTCGGCCGACTTTTTCTCCGTTTTTCCTAATGAGCGCCGGTTGCGCATTCGACGTGTATACATAACTATACGTACCGCATATATATGTATATGTATATATCTTGTCGAGGAAGCAATTTGCAGTAAAAGCGGCCGATTGAGATGAGACGAGAGCCAGCAAGAAAGACGCGGGACGGGAGCCGCACCTGCATCGCTCTCGTCTCTTACGTGCTATCCGAATGAGTCAACAACCTTTAATTCTCTCATAGGCAACGAACTATGAATGCTAGATATGATACTTATTCCGATTTCGACGGAACAATCTTGATTTTACGTTGCTTTTTTAAGTATTTAAAATATTCGATTCATAAAAATCTACAATAAGTAAATAAATTCATATTCATGCTGAATATTTCCAAATTCTATATACAAGTTATTTAATTTGAAAAGCTGATACATAGTTCAAATCTTGATTAAGTAAAGTGAAATATCTTTCAAGTCTTGCGCTATAGATAAAGATATCTTTTTGATTAAATATAATTTAAGATATTTTAAATAATAATTTTTTAATTTTTCTACTTGCTGAAAAACTCCTCTTTCTCTCTCTCTCTCTCTCTCTCTCTCTCTCTCTCTCTCTCTCTCTCTCTCTCTCTCTCTCTTGCAATTGCTATCACACTTCGTTTAATAAGTGTCATGATGATTGTCTAAAATATATTAATCTATAATTTTTAATTTAAAATTTGATAAAAATGTTATTATGTGAAAAATGTATGGATTGAGAAAGAGAGATTTTGTTTAATATTTAAATTGTAAATTTGATTATTCTTAGTGTGATTGCAAGATATGATAAATTATTTCTATGGCATTCATTTCTTGGAAGAAATTACCGTGTTAACGGTCTATCAAAATTGCAAAGAGCACGTAATCAATCTATCACAATCCAGTTTTGCCTATTAACATTACAATAATCCAACGATTGTGCTCGCAACAAAAATATATAATTTATGAACGTTTCAGTTTTTGCGACACAGGCCGCGGTCAAACGATTATATGCACATATGTGTATTACTATAAATGTATATCAACGAATTTATCGTAAAACTTATTTGTCGGTACACTTTATCATTTGCGTGTCTTATGCGCATATCTAATCATCATGACTTTTATAAGGAATACTTGTAAGACACACGTGCGAAATTGCCATAAAGTATGTATCGACATCATATTATATATTTCTCGATACATCATACATAGATATCTTATACTTGTTAATAACAAATTTTCAAACAAATTAATACTCCATGAAAATAATTTCGCGCCGTAATCGCAAAATATATATTACGTGATTGCGTAGTGTTTGAGATATTTAAATAAACCACATGAGTCCAGTAATTTCAATACCATTTTAATTGATGTTTCTGTAGGGCATTAAATGCTTGATATGTATATAATATCTGTTCGTGCTTTATTATATTAATCACGCTGATACAATCTCATCTCATTCAATTATATAGAATAATTTTATTTAAAAAAATGATGATTTCTGCTAAATTATTTTAAGATCAGTTGCGCTATTTTGAACATGATAAATGCGATGTACCCAATATCAAAGCTACCTGTACGCACGCATCGGTAAAGCGGCGCGTTAATTGCGGTTGCAACTTATGTTAGTTGCATTGCGTGTGCACGCTCATAAGGAAGAAGCCCTCGGGGAGTTATACTAGAAACTGCGTTGTACTTTAAGAGGCAAGTACGCGCGAAATAGATTTATAAGATAGGCACGAAATGCGCGCAATGGATCAAATTATTTTAATACCGTGCAAATAAAACATGAGTGTTTCGTCGCTTTAGATTTAACGTAAATGTTCTAGGCTTCTCGTAAACATATTCTGTTATGAGCGTCGCGTTCAAGTACAAAATAGTTATTAAAATGGATTTTCTTTAATAAACTTAAAAATACAAAGTATACATAAGAGTGAAAAAGAAGAAAGAAGAAGAGTGTAAGCTCATATCCTATTTAAAATTCTTTTGATATATACCATACAATTAACATTATAATTACTGTTTTACACTAAAAATTTCCACGAAATTATTTGCCACAAGATTGCATAAAATATCTTCTTTTTGCGTACAGTGTTTTTAAAATATTAACGCAATTTTATTCACATTTAACCTCCGCGTTGGCAAACAATATTATTTTAGATAAGATAAAAAACACAGCTGTTAATTTCGAAAGCGCCAGTAAATATGTTGAGTCTGATCGAACCAATGGAAACTTTCATCACTGACTACTTTGTGTTGTTGCTGTAAAGATATCGGACTGTTACGTAGCATAAATCAAGATAACAAATTGATGTTTAATTTGGCCCGAAGAATCCTTTCTCTGACACTTGTGTATGACATTGACACGTGAAAGAAGAGTGTGATATCCGATCAATCGATTATGAAGATCGAGGAATGAAAACAAAGTGGTTACTTATGATATAAATAGGATTTATGTAACAGAACATTTGTGATTTTTTTTACGAATAACAGATAATCTCGTAGCACACAAATATTTTGATTTCGTCAACACATTTTAAAATGAACAGATAAGTCAATGATAAGCTTGCCGTTGCATAATATTGACTTCTTAGAACAACAAAAAGTTCTAATCGTAATAATTAAAGTAACACAAATTAATTAGCACAAATTATCAAAATAATCTGTCCAAGAACGTATAAAAGAAATACTTAATGTTTCAATTTTTGACACGTAAAACAAGGATAACAAAAAAATCAAGATTTGAACAATTTAGAAAAAAATTTTAATTTTTATTTATATAATATTTTTCTGGACAAACAAAAAAATCAAGATTTGAAAAATTTAGAAAAAAATTTAAATCTTTATTTATATATTTTTCTGGACAAAGATTATGTTTATATCATTTCAATGTAGAATTGCTGCTGAAAATAAAAGTATTCTAATAACTTATATTTTCTAAAGAAGTATCGCGCGGCTCATGATCATTATCGAATTGAAGAGAGTGAAAATCTCGCGACTTTCGATATCTTCGAGCGCATCGGTGCCATATGTTAGCATGTAAAAGCCGTTGCTCTATTCTCACAAAAATCGATTAATAAAAAGGTAACTCGTCGACCTTCGATATAGTCTATGCTTCTCGGCGACTGGCTCTCCATCTCTTTTTCACTGTTGACGGATCTCTCGCTCTCTCTCTTAACTATTTTCTTATCTCTCTTTCTCTCATTGCGCTCCATGTATACATATATCGTTGCCAACTTTCACGTATCATAATATACAGTGAAAGAATGTGGTTTCCCTTTCAAATTACAAAATATATGCCACGAGTGAACAGTTCAGCACACTTCCCTTTCTTTAATCTTATTTTTTACGTCATTTAAAAATTTTTCGATTACCTCTTCGAATGTAATATGAATTTAAATTCAATAGTAAGGACAATCGGATTTTTTCAAATGTAGACATTGGCGATAAATAATAATTCAAACATTAATTTTCCTTAATAAGAACAGATAAATCATATCTCCGCGTTGTTGCCAATTTTTAACATATTATTCTTGCGCTTTAAATTCAATCTCCTTTCGAATATATCGTTTTCATGCCTTCGAGCTTGACTCAAAACTTATATCCTTGTTGACAGGCGGAACATGGTGATCTTAAGGTTTAGACTGGAAAGGACAGCGTCTGAGACTGAAACCTTGATTGAGATATTACATTGCCGTGGTGCGCACAATCGGTGCGCAGTTTTATTATTAAAGAAGGACTTGACCCAGATTATCGATGAAAAAAAAAGATATATACCTAGACGATCCATCCTGATTGCGAATACCTATCTGACGTCTTCGTCGACCGGCATGTCATTGCCGCCGGCGACGATTTGTATCATCTTTCGCGTTATTAATTTAGACAGGAGGGATAGATTTATGTGGGTTGCGGTAAACTGGGTCAGGGACATGCTTTGCATGCGTTCAATATATATACTATGTAGATTCAATTTTTTTATTTATCTGTTAGCAATGAAGAATTTATTATTTTGGGTTTAATTATTTTATGTTAATTTTCTAGCAATAATAAATAATTTATGCTTATTGATAGTTTAGGAATACGAACAAATATATAATTTACAAATAGTTAGTAGATTTACAAATAATTATTTTATGTTAATTTTCTAGCAATAATAAATAATTTATGCTTATTGATAGTTTAGGAATACGAGCAAATATCTGATTTACAAATAGTTAGTAGATTTACAAATAATTATTTTATGTTAATTTTCTAGCAATAATAAATAATTTATGCTTATTGATAGTTTAGGAATACGAGCAAATATATGATATACGGATTTGTGTGTGTATAGAACTCTGTTCATTTATAAGCAGCAAGATAAATATAAAGCCCGTATTTCACGGATTTTATTTTACACTAATATATTCTTCTTTTTTCATTGTTTATTTTTTGTACCTTTTATATATTTTTTCAGGATATAATTTCATATTAAAAAAAAATATATATATATGTATGTATATAATATAATATAAAAACATTGAAAAATGTGTGTGATAAGTTTAAAAAATTCATAAAATAGTGACATAGAATAAATGGGAAATAAAAAATAAATTATAAAAAACTAATAATATAAATATATAAAATACGCTTTCCAGAGAACTCTTTATAACTTGTAACACTTTGCTTTTTACAACGAACAGGTTTAACTTTTTTCATTGTGGTATACTGCAACAACCATAGTTTTTTAGTACTTCAGGATATCTCGGACAGCCGCAAAGCAACGCCACTTGTCCGGTAAATAAAACTGCTCAAAGATATGTGGGAAAGGACAATCCCATCCTGTGACCCTTTGAACTGGCGCCTCCAAGTACAAGAAGCACTCCGCCTAATTTAACAATCATTAGAGAGATTTGATACAATCTATATATGTGATTAATGTAATATTTTTATTAATGTAAACATGACTTTCTAATGTAAACATCAAAAGAGTAAATATTAATCAATTAATTAGAGATATAAATACGAGAAAATTTGAGAAAAATATTCAATTAATCTCGGTGATTTTAAAAACCGGTTTATAGCCTTTTATGAATATAATTTTAGTATCTTGCATGATATTATATCTCGGACTATCAAAGACATCCGACTTAGCGCTAGTTTATGTATTAAGATCATGCAATATATGTGTATTTTTACGTTTTATATCCGATTATTGCGTTATTAGATGTCTTTAAATCATTTTATGTCACATTGTTTACGCAATAAATTTTACCGTTGTCACGAATCTGACTTATGAAAAAGTAGGTACCTTACCTGTACAGTCGCAGCTATTTCTGCCCCAAATCCGTTTGTCATCGGTGCTTCGTGGGCAATAATTACGCGTCCGGTTTTCCTCGCCGACTGCAACATTTACGCACATATCACGCATGGCAATTTATTATCGGTTGACCGCTAGGTTTAATTCGCGCGTGATTTACGTCTTGTCCCATATTGTTGCGATATAATAATAACTTATAGATACGCGATGCTAAACGGGCACATTAACGCCGCGACGACGGCGGCACGAGCCATCATTTTGTAACGGCTATCAAATACAGGCCTACAACATGATCAACGATGGAAATACACGCCGACGATAGAATGGTTGACGATATAGATAGGCACACTTACGTATGTGTTTCGTTGTAAATCATTAACAAAGATAACTAGATAGGTGACGCGAATATTAAACGTCGAATACAGGTTCGTATGACATTTTCGACTTGAATTCATCTTCTCTGCACTTTCAGAGAAGCTGCAATTTTTCGTCACAGAAACACTCCATAAAAAATCTACGTTTCTTTACTTATCGGATTAATATTTATGAGATTCTACATTTCTTTTATGACAATTTTAATTTTTATTAATAGACAATTTATAGTTGCAATGCAGGTGTATCTAAATTATGAATCTTCCATTATTATTTTTTTTAATAATCTTGATTGCTTTCAAAGCAATATTATTTAAAGAGAAAGTTATTAATTTTTTTTACATATATTTTAAATTTATATTTATATATAAATATATATTTAATATAATATAATATAAATATAATATAATATAAATATAATATAATATAAATATAATATAATATAAATATAATATAAATATAATATATATAAATATATATTTATTATTCTAAAATACTAAAGAAAGAGATTTTTATTACATGCTATTAAATGCTAATGCTATCCAATAATATATAAAGCTTGTTAAGTTTTTTTAAGAACTGTCAAATTCTATAAGATATATGTACATATCGTGGATATTAATTTTCCTTTAAGATACGACTAATTAAAGAATAATGCATAAATGTCATTTGAATAATTTATCACAATCCTCAATATTGTCTCTCGATATTTATCAATTATTGCTCCACTTTAATAACGCAATCGAGGATTTTTCCAGCTGGGATTTTTCATCGCGCGAGCGTTTCTCATCAAAGCGACGAATATATTAGAATTTCGTTTCGCGAGCAGAGTCGTCTCTCGTTACGAAACCGCGCAAATGTTTCGCAGACAGGCATCGGGTAGACAAGATAGCGAATCTCCGCGACTGTATCGAAATTGCGGCAAAACGGGTTTCCAATTACGCTCGTACCACGTCTTGTTGTGCGAGCACCACTCTCGCGGCGCATATAATATCACGGCGGTTTGCAAGCTGCGAGAAGTGCATATACGATTGGCATATCATTAGGCGACCGGAGATCGATTAGCATAAATCAGCGCGATATTAGCGTCTGGAGATCCGTAACCCGAAGGGACACGCAAGAGTCCAGACCGGAGGATTTCGTTCACGATCACTCCTCATTCCACTATTACACGATAACCGCTTGTGTCGTCGACGAGACGTCGTAGATCGATGCAATAATATCGAACCTTCGCGTGACAATCATCCGAAATCTCTCGATTATTCTTTTCGTTATCCGAATCCGCCAATATTTCGCCAACGGGATACGCATACAAATGGCACGAAAGACACCTCAATTGTCTCTTTGTATTTTTACGTCTGAATCTGGCGGTTTTTTACTTCGTGCCTTTCGACATCATGATTCGTCATTGATAGTCGAAACCTCGAATTGACTCGAGGGAATGGCGAAGAAAAGAGATCGCGCACAATTATTTGGCCCTTGAAATTCTCGAAATAAGAGATAAATCAGGATCCCGCGAACATGCATCTTATCAAAACAACGAGAAAGGAAAAGGCGAGGAAGGAGACTTCGTCGAAGGAGCGATCGCTTTCTTGAATCGATTTCTTATTCTCAAGGAAACGAACGTAATAAGGTGAGCAAAAAAAAGAGAGAGAGAAAGATTGAATTGTGTGTACCTTGCATACGAGTTCCGCGTCCCAAGGTAGAATGGAAATGAGGTCTATCACCTCGCAGGATACGTTGAGCTTCTCCTGGACTAGATCAGCCACTTCCAACAGCACGTGCACTTGAGTGCCCCAGCCTACGAGTGTCACGGTATTACCTACGCAATAACGAAACACACTTATATAGACAAACACCTGTATACCTAGACTCGTGTAATCGACAAGCGCGTGTAAGTACGTTCCTTCTGTTATATCCTGTTTCAGGATCGGTCATCAACAAGAGCGCCGCTTCACTCTGGTGATTGGATAATGGAAGGATTACACTTGGTAAATTATATTCACAGAGACTTCAAGCCGCATGTATACCAACAGTCACTTTCTATATATGACTTTAAGTAATGTCTCTTATGCGTTATTTTCATTGGACATATATTCTGCCATGAATGTAAAAAATAAAGAAAGAAAGATAAAGAGAGAAAGAGATAGAGAGAGAGAGAGAGAGAACTTGTGCGTTTTATATTTAAATATTTTGCTTAAAAAAATGATTTTACAACCGTAAATATTTATTCATATTGCATATTTAATTTCCGCATTCTTGTCTCCGATTCGAATTCAATTTATACAATTTATTTCATTAAGATAATAGATTACGAGCGGAAATATTGCTCTTAAATTATCATTATTAAAATTGGATTGATAAAAACATTAACAATAATAATTTTTTTATTAAAAATACTAACATTATTTGTTTCAAATGTCAAGAAGTTTTTGTTCATAAAATTCTATAAACTAATTCATAAAATTTATATACATTTAAAATATATAATCAACAATATAAATGATCGATATACAAGTATAGAACAGCACTTAATAAATTCTAATAATGCCAAAAGATGCTAAGAGAAGGAGAAAGAGAGAGAGAGAGAGCAAGATGCAATATTTAATAATATTATATTAATAGAATTTACCTTTCCTTACAACTTCAGCTTTGCCGATTTCGATCTTGTAATGTGCTAGGGGCACTTCGTCGACTGCTGTACGATATAGAATTTTGGGTTCAAATATAATACAAGGATCTGGTTCATCTATGCAGCTCAATAGTAGACCTTTCGCATGCATTGCTCCACGAGGCACGACAATCTAAAATAAAAAATCAGCTGTTTTCAAAAACGTCAAACTGTCTTTCGCGATTCTTTTCGGTTTGTGATCTCTCTTCTTGACGGTTTCACAAAACAAACGTGAAATTTATCGGCTCCAGGAAATGTCGGTACGATATTACGCGACACGCTTCTCTCGTAATCGCGATGTACGATAGCGGCGATTGCGCATTAGTGTGCGAGCAAAACTTTCTTCATGCATACGTAGAGTGTATACGTCGTACAATATTCATGGAATTTGTTGAAGAAAGTTGAGAACTCATGGCTATGGCTGGTGCGTAATATAGCGAAGGTACGAAGAATGTTCCCGATGATGAAAATTTGATAGCGAAACTTGTTTGCTTGACTCGCGCGATCGCGGTATATTAATGACTACTTAATTTTTTTCAATCATCCGAATTTTTTTTCTATACGAATTAAAATTATTTGAAAAATTGCGATTACGTAATAACAAGATTAATATTTTTTGTGTCTGTTACTATTATTATTATTATTGTTACAAGTTTGATCGTCATTTTTCAAATCATTTTAATACGTGTGCAACGTGATTAATTTATAAAAACATTTGAGTGAAAGAACTAATGAGTGAAAAAAATTACCAACAGCTCAAATATTTCATATATAAACATGATCATTTTTTATTCCATTGCGAAATTATTTATCTCAATAAAAAACATGTTTTTTCGTCGCTTATTCTCAAGAATAAAGATACTGCGCAGTCAAAATAATTGTGATCAAGAAGACAAGAGATAGAGCGGTTTTTTTATATTCGATAAATAATAAAAATGTAGCACATTTATTACTGACCTTCAAGCCGGGAGTATGTGCGAAATAAGCTTCCGGACTTTGAGAATGATAAAGGCCACCGTGGCCAACTGCTCCACAAGGTGCACGAACCGTAAGTTTACCGCAATCAAACGTTCCGCCGCTTCGGTATCTCACTTTGGCGGCTTCATTTACCAACTGCACACAAAATTAATATATAATCCCGTTAATAATTTTATTAGAGATTATTAATTTTTACATTCTATGCGGCAGTGACGATTTGGATGTATATCCCGCGTTATTTCATATAACTTGCTCGTAAAATCTGCGAAATTTCCTGTTTTTTAAAAAATTTCTTATTTTTTTGAGTATGGAATCTTTTTAAACTTTAACATCTCTTTCACGATATATTAAAAAGATATTCTACTAATATCTAAAATAACGTTCATTGTTTCGTATATACGCAACAATTTTATAGTCTTCTTAGAAGAATTTAATAATTTTAAATGTCAACAATATTAGCCTTATTTTAATATTGTAATTGTCACCTCAAGAATATATAATTATTTAATTCTTCTTTAAGAAAATTATAATCTTTGATTTAAAGATGTTATTTTCTATCTAACATTGTTTCTTTTCCATTCAAAATTAAATCTTAAATCATAAGAATATATTTTTCTTGATTGGACTATATAAAATGGCTTCATTCAAATAAGCAATTACATTTTTCTTTAATTAACGCAATGTAATTTCATTTCAAGATTTCCATGTTAAAACTAAATATATTTTCAAAACAAGAATGTCCTTTTTTTATTGTTTATATTACATGATGAATACTGAAATACCTGATCGAAGGCAGGAAATATGTAATCTGCAAATTGTATTTCGGCAATGGCCGATATTCCGACATTAGCTAACCCAATTCCAAAGCCGGCAATTCCTTGCTCACAGAGAGGTGTATTAAAGACGCGATTAGCGCCGAAACGTTTCTTCAAATCCATCGTACAACGAAACACACCTCCGAATGCCACGTCTTCGCCAAATATCACTGAAAATTTAAAAAAATTCTGAATTCTGAAAAATATGTAAAAATATTTTTTATAAAGATTTTAAATTTCCTTTGAATAAAATGTATTATTCTTTTTTCCTTAAAAATGTATTATTATTCTTATTTTATATTAATATTATTATAATAATATTAATATTAATATTATTCTTTTTTCCTTATATTAATATTTCCTTATATTAATATTAATATTATTCTTTTTTCCTTAAGTAGTTTGAAAGCACTGTGAAAAATTAATGAATGTCGAAGATGTTGAAAATAAAAAGTATATACCTCGTAAATATATGAAACTATATATCTCTAGGGAAAAATGATGTTATATTTATATATAATTTTTATGTTTTTATTCTATTTAAAAGCTTTCAACAGGATATTTACCTGAACGTGGATCGTTTTCCAATGCAAGAGTAAGGGCGTGATTTATAGCTTGATACATATTCAGCTTTTGAGTCTCACCTGAAAGCATATCTCTTTTACATAATCATGTGTGAATAATGCATTATTGAGTATTAAGTGATCACGTACGTACTAAGAGGTTCTAGAACATTCTATTGCGACTTGATAATAAATAATATTCTTCTCTTTACATATAACAAATATTCAAAATTATTTATATTGAATCCTATTACATCATATATAATAAAAAAACTTGTCGATATTTTATCGTCACGTTAATTTTCGATTCATTCTTGACATAAATACTGCGCATTTTCGCGTTCTTCACGCGTGAGAGACAACTATCAAAGTCTAAAGATTATCAAAGAATTGGATTTCAAAATATCTGAATATTCGAATAATTTAATGCTCGAAAATTTTGAGAGAGAAATCGAAATATGTCATTTTACATTATCGTATTTACCTTTTTTTCGCTTGAAGCAAAAAATAGATAAATATTTTATAATTTTCAATTAGTCCAGATTTCGATGTTACAAATTAATTTCTACTTTTATTTGTAACAATTAAGAAAACATTCTTAACTAACATAAATAAATAATTTTGTTCTCAATAATTAAATATTCTCCTAATTATATCAATTTATACTTCTATATTAAAGATATTATGCACACGAACTTACATAATTACGTATAAACTTTTCAATTAATTAAATGCTCAAGAAATTATAAATTCCATCTTTCATTAAGCTCATTAATCGCTTATATACTACTAGTGCCGACTTTGCGTGTCACTGCTTTTGCATGACTTTGAATGATGATTCACTATGATTAATACGTGTAAAAAGTAATTACACTTACCGATAGTATTTGGCCTCTCACTCGGGAAATACGTAAAGTGCGCCGACCTGACATGCTTCCGCTGATTGGAATTTCGGCTCAGAAGTAGTTTTTTTCCGGCGCTTCGAAGCCGTGTTCTCAACTTACTGAGCATAATTTCTCGTTTGAAGCGCTATTTTGCCCACGTATACAGGGTCGCAGGTCTTATCTTTATATGCACATAATACAATGTCTCGGCGCAGAAACATCACATGTAATTTTCGCGAATGGCCGCGAAGTCGTACGCGTGCACGTGATTGAGCGATTAAAAACGCTGCCGATCTACGAACGGGAACTAGTCGACAAACTACTTCGATAGACTTCGATATACTTCGAAATAGTGAAGCAAGATCGGAAAGGGAAACCTCTTGGAAAAAAACGGGATGGGGATAAGCAGAGAAGACGATAACAAGCTGACGTCAATAGTGTTTGTTCATTTAATATTTTTGAAGGAGATTAGTTTCAAACTTGATAATGGCAAATAACATGCTATCCCAGAAAACATACTTCCAAAAAATGTCTATAAAAAAATGAAATCTTATCACAACGATAAAACTTCCTTTTTAAAATGGTTTTTGGCCTTTTACGCTGTCTGGGTATGTATATAGTAACTATGAAAGTAACAAGTTTACAATTAGTATATATTATATTTAATATAAATAAAATATTTTTATATTATTTTTATATTAAATATTTATTACATTTTATTATAATTTTCACTTTTGATTTAATGGTGAACATTGTGTGAAATAAATATATATAATTTTCATTAATATTAATATTATTTTCATTAATATTAATATTAATATATATTTTTAAATTATTAAAAAATATTTAAAAATTAATATATATATGTATATTTGTTTATTTATTTATTCTATTTTCCATTTCTGATTTAATGATGGACATTGCATGAAAAGATATATACTTACTTTTTTGTATCAATATAATTTATATATGTATATAATTCTAATCTTATATTAAAATAAAAACATTTTCAAGACTAAAAGACTGTTAATGCAACTGTAAAAAATTAACAAAATAATTCGCTGATCCAGTTTATGGAGTAGTATGGATACGAACCAAAGAGTGATTTTATCGGCAGTGTCGATAAGATAGAGTAGCTACGTAATTTCTTAAGTGAACACAGATGGCGGTAGTAAACGAGATGTTTGCTGAACGTCCGACGAAAATAACGGGATGGCCGCAGGCTTCTCAGGAGTGTATGTGAATGTGAGCGTGTGTGATGTGCATGCCGCGAAGTGGCAGCCATTACGGGTTCGTTCTCGGGACGCGTCTTTGTTGAACGCACGATTTCTCGCACCGTCTATCATCGGTGAAGTGTGTCGGAAAAACCGTCAAAGCTAATCGACGATCTGAATTATGGCCAACATGGATATGGAAAGATCGAGCAACGGCGATTACAAGTATCAGAGAGATGTCGACGACGTCGACGTTAAATCTAGAATGGACAAAGAGTCCGACGAAAAGGAGCATCAAATTGACAAGGCGGGCGAATACGTGCGCGAGCTTCTTCAGGAAAAGCTTGAGCTCGACAATCAAAAGTCGCCCATTGCCCTTCGATTGCTCGATCAAGGTAAGCAAATCTGTTCTTTCTTCCTCATCGTACTTCTCGCTCGTGAAATTAGTCCGTCCGATGGAAGATCCCATCAAGTTACCACGAATTATCGTTGCACCGGATATCAGATAACCGGCAAAACTTATTCGCAATGAGATTTCATTGAATTCGTATATTTATGTAAGCAATGTTTAGATATTTTATATAATGTAATTACCAGTGAAAAGTGAAACATTCTATTTGGATTTTACTGAAAATTCGGATTATATTGACAATAATTTAGAGTTTTCGCTTAAATATTTCCGCAGTTATCGATATCTTTTAGTTTGATCTCTGATATAAAATTCTATGACTAAGTAAGAGATATAAAAGAGCAATAAGTATCTGTTATTTTTTAAATAAAAGTCTGTTTTGCAATAAAGGAATATCTTTTTGAAAAAATAAATATAAAAATAGAAAGAGATATTATTATAGAGAATAGATATTATTCTTACATAAATAATCCTTAAATTTTTGTTTATTTGAGATTTATTTGAGAAAAATGCACATAATTTGATGAAGAAGAATATATTCTATTTTAAGTTTTTATTGCAATAAGCTGTAAATACTTGCCGCATCAAAAAAACTGCATATTTTATAGAGATCCAAAAAACGCAAGCTATTGGAAAACCATTAAGGGATCCAAAATATGTGGATATTTACCGTGAAAAACCAGTTCGTATTTCTGTAAAAGTTTTAGTACCTATTCGCGAGCATCCTAAGGTAAGTATATTACATTTATTTAATGTAGCAATTTTTTAAACAATTTTTTAAACACATGTACTGTTACATTTAAATCTAAATGTAATTTATCTTGCTTTAGTTTAATTTTGTTGGGAAATTGCTGGGCCCAAAAGGTAATTCCATGAAACGCCTGCAAGAAGAAACAATGTGCAAAATGGCAGTGTTAGGTAGAGGATCGATGAAAGATAGACAAAAAGTAAGTGATCAATAAATCTTAGCTTTTATTTTCACTCAAAGAAAATTGTTTCTCTCATGATTTTTTATTCTTATTATCTTAGGAAGAAGAATGTCGTGCTTCTTTGGATCCGAAATATGCGCATCTTTCTGATGATCTACATGTAGAGATCACAGCAATTGCACCACCAGCTGAAGCTTATGCTCGTATTGCATTTGCTCTCGCCGAGGTACGGAAATATTTGATTCCCGACAACAATGATAACATACGTCAAGAGCAAATGCGCGAAATGGAAATGAACATATCTAGTGATATATCTGATGATCGAAGACCTTCGATGAGAGGACCTTCTAGTGGTCCTGGTACTGGTAATATATTAAGACCTGCTGCAAGACCGACATTACCTAGAACGTCTAGAGGTTAGTCTCATATCTATGATGAAAATTACATAAAATATGAAAATATGTAGAAAATTAAACATTATTGTGATGTTAATTTCTTTGGTATCATTGATCAATACAAGTTTATATTGATAAAATTTTCTTTAACAAATATATTTGTTAAAGAAATAATATACAAAAAAAGATACAATATAAGAAAGATAAAAAATAATATACAAAAGATACACAATTTGCAAAATATAATAATACAAAAAAGATTTAAATATATAAATATTTTGTATGTATATTTTATATGTATATTATTCAGCTATACTTCCTCCGCCACCTACAAATCGTGGTCCACTTTCTCGACCTGTACCGCCAAAATCAAAAGTATTCTCAATCTTGGATCGTGCAAGAGCTGCTATGGATCAAAACTTTAGGTGAGCTTAATTTTTTCACTTATTTTATAAATCACAAATGCTGCATTAAATTTATTTAAATTTAATTTTTATTTTTGTAGCTACGAAACACCAACCCCTCCACCAACAAATCGCGCTGGATCGCATCATGATTATGATTATCATGGATCGTCAACTAGTAGTGCTCGATATGGCGATCGACATTATACACCGAGTTCTGGGTATGTATTATAACGCTTTTTGCACTGTTATTGTAATATATAAATAAAAGAGAAAAATTTGATAGTATAATGTAGTTTTAAAAAAAAAGTTTTGTATAAACAAAAAGCATTTTTGCATTTTCTATGTTACATAACTTTTCTTTATTATCTAATTTGTCAAATGCTAGATATCTATTTAATAGAAATAATATGTATTCTTTTTCAAGTTATACAACTTATGAATACGAGGACGATTCTGCACCACATTCTTCACATGATTATTACGAATCTTCAGACTATCCAGGTAAGATATTCCTTTTATATATATATTTGTTTGATTATAATATTAATAACTTGAAGATTTTTTCATGCTATTATATTTAAAATTTTATTTTGATAATACATTTTTGAATGAATGTTTCTTAATTACATGTAAATTCTTTATTGTACTTATGCAGGGTTTACTATAACATTTTAATTTTACTGTAAATTTTTATAATGATACATAGATGTATGTGGTATATTTTAAATAGATGGTTCTATGAAATTTTAATACTTTTTCCAAATATTTCAAAATAAATTCAAGATTAAACATTTTCATTTAATCTTTTTCATCAAAAAATTTGAAAAAAATAATTATAATTATTGCATTAAATTCTAATTATTACAGTTATTGCAAAGACATAATAAATGCATAATGTTACTTAAAGCAAAAATATTAGTAGTAGCTTCCATGGAAATGCATTGACTACTAAAATTATTTAATTTTTAATTACATATTGAAGAAATTAATAATTTATTTTTAGGTCTTAATAATATATTTATATATAAAATGGATAAATTAAAATATAAAATAATGCATTTATTGTAATAATATCTAATAGAAATAATATCTAATAGAAATTTTATTATAATATAATGTATTTTAAAGATTAACTTTAATTTTTACATAAAAATTAATTTTAATGTAACTTAACATAAATTCGATTTTTTATTAAATTTGTTTAATTCAAACGCGCGCACAAAATGAAATTATATTCTGTATAGATAAAAACAACAGATAATTTTAAACAATTGTATTTGAATCATGCAGTTCCAACTGAAGCCATAATCTAATTTGCTATAACAATGAAATTTAAACCCTGTCATAGATCATATGACAAAATGCATGATATACGTTGATGATTAAACTTCCAATCTCATACTAAAAACATTAAAATGACAAGCCATGCTTAGATGCTAGCATGTAGATCATTAACGATCATCGTGTTCTGCCTAAATAAAAATAATTAAAACATTTCAATCCATGAAATTCGCAGAGGAATCGTCAAGCCGCGCTTGGAAATCGTACAAGACTACAACGACATCAGGCACAGCCTCGCGTTACCGCACCACCCCGTATACACGACCTTCCAAGTAAAGACCTATAAAAAAAAAAATCATCCATTAAATTTTTTAATCTTAATCGTCCGTACTCCTCTAAATATTTTTTTTTGACATTATTATTTCATAGCGTTGTTGCAAATCCATTGGCGGCTAATCTTCCTAATGCTGCACGGCGGCCTATGATGCAGAAACCAATAAATGAAAGAAATCGTCCTTAACTGATCTGAAAAACGGAGGCTAAGACGGTAATGATGTGCAAACGTTATTGTTTCATTTTCACAATATTTTCATTTTGACAATATTAGAATGAATAAGATAACGTCAGTAAAGTGCCATTCTGATCAGGAAATTTATTTTTCGTTCAATTTTTTTTTTATAAAAACTAAGTTTTCTTTATCCATTTTCTTTTTTCTTTTTTAGTTATAAATACTACATGTTAATTTTATTTTTACTATTTTTTTTATGATAAATTCGATAATTTTCAGATCTCTCAGTTTTTGCGATCGCTGGATAAACAAGAGTATATAAATAGAAATTAAACTATCATTAAAATATAAGCAAACGTAATAGTATTAACGCGGCCGATCATTTACATAAAAATTTATTCCGTTGACAACTCTTTTTAATCACTTTATATCATAATTAATTCAATATACCGGTCATTCTCCATTAACTCCGCTCCTTTAGTCCTTTTCCTAAAATTTTGGCCCACAGAGGAATTTAACTATTGACATGGAGTAAAGGATCAAGAGGATTGATGGGATGAAATAAGTAAAACGATTGAACAAGTGTTTAATATTACAAAATGAAAAAACTATGAAATTCATCAATCATATATTCAATGTTATATATAAACTAAGTGTCGATACATAAATCACAATCTTAATGATTCTAACCATATTATGGAATCATCTTTTCTATATATCCTTTGTACTTAATATCTTCAATTTGAAATTTCGATAATATAAAGGAAAATATTAATATTCAATAATCTCTAATCAAATTATACATTAATGTAAGCTTAGATATATTAAGATTAATTTTTTTATCTAAATAAACTGTAGTTTGAATATTTTTATTGAACGAAACATCATATAATAAAATATTGCATTGTAAATGGAACAAATTAAACAATATAAATGATATACAATGCAACTAAAAATTATAAATTGATGATAAATACATGAATGTATAAGCTTATTATTATTACATCATAATCCTACATTACTTGCTTAATATATAGCATCATAAAGTAAAATGTATAATATGATAGATTTATATAAAGAAATTATGTGTAATAATCTATATTATTTTTTAGTAGAATAATACAAGATTATGACAAATTACAATATCATACATAATCTCTCAATATAATTTTAAATATATAAACGTATATCCAGAAATATATTGAATGTAATTTTAAAATTTGTCATTAAAATAATAACATGTAACATGTAACTTCTATAAATTGAAATAAAAATGAAATAACATAAGATATTTTGTTTTTAAAAATGCCAAAATGAACTTCCCCAACCAATGAAAATACTAAGATGCTAATTATTTTGGATAAAACTTTACATATATTTCGCTCCACTAAATATATTACAAAAATTTTTTATTATGTATTGTGTATGAAAATTTCATAACAGATTGTTCTATTATAGCAATATATATAAATTAATATCATGTATAAAGATCAAATTTAATCATAATGAAACAAGGAATATAAGAATAGAACTATAGATTAAAAGACATATATACATGCGTGTATATTAAAATAAAATAACAATCATATAAATAGTTTCACAAGTATTTATACTATGTTTTTAATCTATTAACATAATATATATGTTGAGAAGAAATTGATAAAATATAATAATAGTTCCCGGATTGATAAATACAAATTAAATGAATGAAATATATAAAAAATCAATTACATCACATAATTTCTCTGAATATTTTTTTTATAAATGTAGCACCATGTGGAATGAAATTCATATCTATTATACATAAGAAAATGATCAAATTATAAAAATTACTTAATTATATATTTTATTGAAAATTTGAAATATTATAAAATTAGAAACATCGTTAATTGACTATTCAATTTTATTCTAATATTGATATTGATGTATTTCATATAGGTGGATAAAAAAATCATGAAGAATTGCGTGGGAATCACGTTCTTTGAGGATCAAAAGGATTTTAATCCTTCTCTCTAATCATTATGGACTTTGAAGTACCGTGAATACACTTAAATATGACGTGAGTACACATACAATTATTTATTATAAATGTTAAAAACAAATGCAAAGTTTATTTAACAATCTTTTTTTTCAATATTTCGGAAATTATATTTTTTTAAATATCTGTTGCATAAAATTGAATAATAAATAATGTTCAAGAATAACATTTTAAAAATAATAATTATAGAATATAAATTTAATTAAAGATAAACTATATTTTTAAATTATTGAAAAAATAGCATAACAACATGCATTTGTTTTTAATAAGTATTTTTATAAAATATCAGAAAATATAAGAAAGTATATGAGTTTTTTGTAAATGTGTATATGCATTTGCAAAAAAAAACGTCAGTTAAGTAATAAATACACGGAGATTTTTCCATGGGCAACAAAACGTAAGTAGAATTAAAATAATGAATATAATTTTACAGGTATTAAACTTCTATATAAATAATTATAAATATTATTATATATATTAATATTATTTTATGTATTCAGATGTACTTGTCATATAGGATGAGATAGAATTAGAAAAAAGTCACTAATTGTTATTTTATTTATTAATATTTTTAAATTAAAATTATTGTGTAAAAGTTAGTTTAAAAAATTGTAATTTGATTATTTTCTCTTTTAATACAACATAAATATAAATAATCAATTTTTTTGGAAATGTGATAACATTTTTTATTATCTCCGAATTTATTATTATCTCCAAAACGCAAAATATAATATTAGTGACTTTTTACTTTATAGCATATTATAATATCGACGTTCGTACAAACGTAAGAAATAAATAAAATTAAAAAGAACAATGTTCTCAAAATATTATCCCATATATGTATGTTCCATTATTTTAGTTTATCTTTTTATTAATCAAAAATTAAATAATATTAATTATATATTATAGTATTAGAAATAGCTATTATTAGAATGGGCTATAAGTATATAATGCCAATTGTGATTCTCTGATGTATATAATTTATATGACAGGTGGTTATTTTATCACGAGGAATTGCTTAGAAACAATATTCTTATTTATTTATCACACACCAATATACAAAAATGAACTGTATAATCAATATCAGAATATAATATACTACGAAATTCAAATATATATTTAATAAAGATATATCTGAGTATCTTACAAGATTAGAGTAATGGTTCAACTTGAAACAAAAAATCATCTACAACATTCTTTGCAATTGGCACAGAAATTCTGGTAGAAAAATGTATTTCTACGGCCGTCCTATAAGGGTTATAAATAAGTATTAATTTACGGGAGACCTTAGCTTCTAATAAGTCGCATCTAAGTATGTAGTCGTGAGTGAAAATAAGGTGCCGAATTTTCTTTTCCCTAACTAATCCATTGCGTATGAATCATGAACCGGAAAATGCTTCGTTCGCTTAAAGTACAATCGAGCACATCGCGCTAGAGCGTCCACATCTTGTATCTGTTGAAACGCATACTAATTTTAGCTGCACTCTGCATAATAATTAAACAATTATTATGTTACTTATTATGTATATGCGTCATTTTATTCATAACGATTTCACAATATCAAATTAGTTAAATTTTTTCTAACATTTATCGAGAGGACTCGGTATATTAGCCAATCATTAGAGTGATCCTTATTTATGCTTGTTAAATTTTCTCCGACTTTCTCCTCGACACAGTTCATGCAGTATCGCAGTATATACAGTCAGATTACCAAGACGAAAGGGCGCGCATAATGAAGATCACACTACTGATTACGCTATAGTGATATTTTCTGAATTTATATACTATATTATCAAGTTATACTTGCGAAATGTGTGCGTATAAACGTAAAAGTATGTAATACAACAAGTATAGAATATCGGAGACGCCAGATTTAAAGATTTTGGTCGGAATGCGTTTTAACATTTACAAAACTGTTTTACGCTTGTAGTGCAGAGGCGACTCTCTATATTATAATGTAGCGAGCTACATAGCATCGTATGTATTCGCGTATAAGACATCTTCGTATCTGTAAGAATCAAGTCATATCCACGAGCTCGTGCGAATATAAGGAAGGGCCCTATGTGTAAGAATGTTACATTAAATTTCACGAGTGTTGGAGTCTAAGACTTTGGCTAATCCTAGAGCCGCTTCTAACACCATGAGACGTGACCTTAGTCATGTGACTGTCACATTTTATTCTACAATAATGAGCCGGTTTTTCTCACACGCTCTGTCCACGACCACTTCTAATACTTTTTCACCTCTATGAAAAAACATGGAATGTATAGTGTATTTTTTAATCGGTTTACATCTTAATAATGTACGATTATATCACAAGAAAGATTCAAATATTCTGTACATAATACGCGACGCGACACGAGACGCCCCGTCCGGCGTCCTCTTTTTCTTTTTCTCCTTCTTCCCGTTTTACTTTTAATCTTACAGTTATATACGCCTAAGATTTAATTACAAAGTTAGATATGTCTCAGGTTCACCTGGTATTGTACTTCATACAATCTCTCGTGACTGGCGAGTCCGAGATGCGGCCGACGAGCACGTGCGCATCGTTCTCGACGAGACTTCCGTTTCGTCACGCGTGTGCGTCACGTGCGTGTCCAACGAAATGCTAGTTTCGTTGCGCTGTGTATGCGTGTGTGTGTGTGTGTGTGTGTGTGTGTATGCTCTATCGCTTCTTCTCTATATCTTTTTTTTTTTCGTTAACCGTCTGTTGCTTACATTAATAGCTCGATATCGATAATTGGCACATCTTTTTAATGGCAAGTTTCGCATTGGCACGATAATGACCTTAGGAATAGCCTTGAATAAAATCCTTTAAAGAAAAATTTAATAATATAGATAATCTTTATTTTTAATTGACTAAATGTCGATTTATGATAAACTCTTCTAGATCAAGAAGTAACATTAAAAGATTGTAAAGTGTAATTTATATATTATATGCGATTTACTCATATCGCTCATCTTCCGGTAAATCGTTTATAGACTCCCGTTAGAAGGACTTCATTCTTGACATTCCTTGGACTTTACGTCGTTTCTGACTATCACGCGAGTGTGCACCTACAAAAGGCAGAATATTCTTGCTATGAATGATCGCACGACGTTCCCCATTATGATTAATCTCAGTAAAGATGATTGAAACATCAACATTACTGAGGATTAAGTTGCACTTTGATACTCATACACGCGACCGCTTCTGTTTATACATAAAGAATTGCTGGTCCAAGAGACTCTCATACATGGAAGCACAGCTTCTCTAATAAAAAAAAAGAATAAATCGCAAAATAATTCAGAATGTACATTGAAAGAGAATCGAAGACTCGTAAATCTCGATTCGTTTTTGCCTTTGCAAATTAATGAATGTTCTTTATATTTTGACACGATTTTCATTTTTTATTTTTATTGCAGATTGCCTACTAATAATTATAAATTGTAGATGAATTGCAAGGATAGTAAGAAATAGTTTTAGTTAATAATAATTTAGCGAATTAATATTAACACAATTGCACTAAATTTCTTGCATTTTTCGACTATAATATATACTTCACAAAATTATCTTTATGATTATTTCATTCTTCTTCTGTAAATTAATTTTCTATTAATTTTCTGTGTGAAGCTCTTTGATAGAATTTACACTGCGAGGGAATACTATATCCTTATATCTGTCACAATGTGTATTTTTTATTACACATCTGTGTATTTTTTATCACACTTGTTATTTAATACATATACGTATTACAGTTTCTCTGTGCTGCATAATTTTTTTTGATTAATCAGACAATTAATAAGAAAATAAATTAAAAAAAGACTTTAAACAAATTTTTTAAAATCTATTTGCATTATCCAGTAGATACTTATAATTAATAAAAGTAGATTGATTATATATATTAGTACATACAATAAGAATAATAAAAATAATCAGCCAAAAAAAGTAATAATCATTTGGCATTTTAAATTTGTTTAACAATTTTAATTTTCATTCTTCAGCACAGATAATTCGAGCATTTTTATCGGTTAAATATTCAGATGCGCACAAAATATGGATGCGATTACATGTTATCAAATTGCAAATCTTTAGTTTGATCTATCGTATTTAAGATGTATCATCGGTGGGATATAAAGAGAGAGAGCGGATCATATGAATAGATTATAAAAATCGTAGCTGTACACCTTTGATCTTTGATATCTTGAAATATTTTCTTTAAAAATTCGGAGATGATATTTTTTAAAATATTATTCATATATTATCATCACATTTTATTATTATATGTTTATGACAACATAAGCATAATTTACTCAGATATGTTTTGGAGCAAAATCAAAGAGATCCAGATACAAAAGTATATAAACTTACAAACTTGGTATAAATTTCCCAATAATATGAATATCCAATTGATATCCTCAAACATTTTTTTGCAATATTTATATATTTCTGAATACTTATTAATTATATAATTTTCGATATTTTTATCACTTAAGAAAGAAAATTGAGAATCGTCATGTATTATAAAATATGTTAAATCTTAAGATATATATATATATATATATATATATATATATATATATATATATCTTATTATTTTGCAAATGAGAAAGAATATATTTGCAGAATATAAAGAATATCCATTGGATGACGTATGGAGCTAGTTTTCTTGTTTTAGCATGTGGCACATGTTTAGCACAGATACATATTTTCATCTGCTTATAAAAATTTGTTCTCTGCTTTTCTATAAGATGACATTAATAGCATTTTAATCGGAATTTTAGTCAATGAAAGGAGCTATTAAAGATTTTGTTAAGATAAAACTACAACGTTCTTAATATTTTCAATATAGATTATAAAATGAATAAAAGAATTGTATCAAAGGCGATCAGCAACACGAAGAACGAAGTTATTTCAACTTGAATTTTTTTTTTCTTTTCAAACCTTTTTTTCCTTTACGAATAAGAATTTTCTTATTTTTTTGTTTCTCTCATTACTAGTATCCCTGATTGCACATTTCGCACATATGTAGCCTGCATGTCGAATTGCCTACAGAAGCTTACCAGACCAGCCAACCTCGGCGTACGATGGCCACGCGAATATATATGTCGCGAACGCGAGCTCCTAGTACGCAGTGGTCCACTGCGAGCTTTCCGTAAGAATGATGAACGCACGGAAGCTCAATTGTACGGCCAAGAGTGCCTGATAGACGTGACCACGTTCGAGGTAGGCGGGTCTTCCGTGCGTCACTTCTTCATGTCGTTCATCAGCGTGCCATCCTTGCTCTTATTCGTATCGAGATTCGATTGTTGACTGCTCGTCACGCCGCTGCCATTCCCGGGATACATCTTCTCCAGATGATTCAAAGATTCGCTTAGGAACTTCTAAAATAAAAATCCCAAGAGTGTTTTTTTTAGCTTTCGCGTCGCATATACGATTTTTAGTTACAAAATATAGCATGCTAAAAATAAAAATACTTTCTCTCTCCCCTCAAAAAAAAGAAATTTTATTTTTTATTATTTTTGAAACGACGATATGAAGAGAAGATATATATATATATATATAGTATAAAAATGACTTCTGATGCCATTACCTGTATAGCTGTTAAAGCAGCCACAATTGCAGGACTTCCGAATCCGTGTGATATAAGAGAAAAATGAGTAAGATGTCTCTGTATACTGGGATCGAGGATATGTTGTGGTCGGGTATTGCAAAGTGGTGATCTGTCCTGGTTCAGAAGATCCATCAGCTCTTTGGTGATTTGTCTAAAAGCGAGTAAGGTTTCAGAAATCGATCACATGATTTATCGTAAATTCTTATCAAAGTCATCCGTAATTATAATGTTGCAATAAGAGGGGTGCAATAACGTTATATTATTCTTACTTGGTGGCATGAAGAAGTTCTTTTCTCCTATAGGAATCTTGCGGCTCACAATGCTGTCGACTGAGATACTCGGCGACTTGTTTCGCGGGGAATTCGGTTTCGCAAACGTAGCCGAAGTCTCTGGCAAGGTGAATGGCTTCTCCTGAAAGGAATAAAATATTCACGTATAATTGCGTGATGCCATTATGTAAACTTGCGCATGGGTGTACATAACGGTCGATGAAAATGCTCGCGAATTTTATTTAAGTCGCGAAACGCATTCTATCCATCATCTTCCGAATATTTCGATTCGAATGCGATTTGGATATCTTGTCAAATGTGTGCGATAAATACGATAAATCCCTACTGTGAGATAATTAGATAGATTTTTAGCCATACAGGTTTCTGTAATCATTGATAGCTTTCTTCAATAGTGACATGCGAATTTTGTCCTTTAATTAATTTTATTGCGATTTTATTTTAATAGATATTTAAGTTTTTGTTTATAAAGCATGATTCAATTACTTTTGGTAAAAGATAAAATCATGAAATATGGTCTCTATTGAAAGATCATAAATAGATAAATTGGAATCAATTTTTGGACGGAGCAAAATTAATTAGAGATAATGAAATAGCGTATATGTTTTCTTCCCGAGCTTCTCTCTTTTTATCCGGTCTTCAGCAGCGCATTATTCGCGACTTCTTTCGATGATGGGAGGTAATTAAGTATTTACAGATAGGGTCTCCGGTGCAAGATGAAAGTAGACCCGCTGGGCGCTATTATTGACAACCGAGCAAAGCCACCCGCAGATATCGCCGCGCTTATACATCATCTACGAAAGATCGGGAACATGGATTACACAACTAAACAAAGCCTGCAGTCAACGAATATTTCGCAATTCTGTTACATATTTATTCCAATGTAAAGAAGCGATATCCTCTTCATACACGAAAATTAATTATTTACAATCGTGCTCATATGAAGAAATCTCGTAGTAAAAAGAGAATATAAAGAGCTAGTAAATTCTTAGACTATGTTACGAATCTGTTTATTAATAGAAATTGAACGATTTTGTGCTCTCATTCTTAATATTTTAAAGTAAAATCAAGGGCTTTACAAAAATACGATTTTATAAAATACATATTTTGAAAATAAAAATAAAAATTGCAATTTTGTGATTTAATTTATATAAAAAAATCTAAAATACCTCGATATTAAGAAAGGATAATACATATTAGTTTAGAAATATCTGTGAACATTCGAGATTCTAAGTTGTTATTCGAGCTGAAACGAGGGCTCCTACGCAAGGAATCTTCATTTGGAATTTTTTATTACATACGAGATTGCTACATATAAAAAACTATAATAGTTCCGCAAAAAGTTTTACATATTAAGAACCATTTAATCTATATAAATAGAACCCTAAGTATTGGTCCCATTTGAATATGAAAAATAATGAGATCCTCGTGTAAGATCATCGTGTAAATGACGGCCTTCTAATTTCAACTTAATGGCTGACAAGATTGTTGCTCGCCCAAGGATCTCGCACGCACATAGCCTTGGGGCAATCACTTAGATCGCTATAGAAATTATATTCGGAATGTCTTTTTTTTCGCCTAATAATGTTTTACTTGAGTGCATGACACAATTGTGTATGAGAAAATCCCATCGGCCTCGTAAAATTTAATCGCCATAACGGTTTACGTTAAAGTACATAATGCTTTCTACTGTCGTTTTGTGGAGAACGATTTACGGAAGCAGATTCGTAACAAAAATTTAACATTAGATTTTTACGATGCACGTATGCATTTGTGTATCTAATTAATCACGATTATTCACGGTTAATAATGATTGAAAAGTAGATTCTCAGAGTAATGTAATGCAAAACACAAGATAATTAATACGCAAACTGCAATACTTGTTACTTATCGTGACTTTGCAATTATGTTTCTACATAAATAAATTTTATCTGAATGCATTTGTTCCTAGAATAAAAGATATTTTTTATGCTCCATTCTTATTTTATCATAAATTTGATGATCACAAAAATCACATATTAATGTAATGTTTATCTTATTGCTCATATTACACTATCTTATTCTATTTATTATTATTTGAATTTATAAACTTGTTATACATATTTTCTTTGGATTGCACGATATAACAGTTTCAAAAATATTTCAAATCAGATAGGAAAGGAATTGTGTGAAATCTCATTCAAAAAATAAAGTCAAAGGGAAAAGAAAAATTGTGTAAAATCTCATGAAATAAAATAAAATAAAAAATTATGAAAAATAAAAGAACAGTTCTAAATTTCAAATAGTGTGCGCGAATTAGTATCATAATTTGAACTGCATTTTGTGTGTCATTCTATTTTATGTGACATAAATTACGATTTGCGTAGTCGCAACCGTCATTATTTTTAATGGACGTGCCATTGATTCTACATGTTTATATGCCACGGACTTGTCGTAATGCTTTGTAGTAAAGTTTTTACTGCGGTCGCGCGACGAAAGGAAAAATAGCGAACGCGAGCATACACATTAAGCGAAACGAGATATTTCTAACACAGCTATGGAAAGCATGTATGTAGTTTGAAACTGCCGATGTTTTTATGCTGTTTGACGTTACACAATGTTGCACCGTTGCACCGCTTGCACTGATTTTACGTAATCCTATTATGCACTCGCGTCTAATGTATTCAATAAGAACGGAAATAACAAGACAATAAACAAGAGAGAACAGCAAAGATAACTTACGTTTTTGCTATTGAAAACATTTATATGTGGGTTACTCGTGGCTAATATATCAATATGCTTATTGTTAACGAGAGGTGAAGGTAATAGAAAATAAGTAAAACAAGTAGATCTTATTAGTTATATATTTTGAAAAATTATTAATTATTAAGTAATTAATTATCGTAATTAATTATTCCAAAAATTATTATTATATAATCTGTATATATTCGAAAGAAAAAAAGCATGATTTAAAAAAAATTGTACATGCCACTAATTGTCAAAAAAGTATTAGATTTATTTAAACACTATTAAAGATGAAAATATATATTTTGGTTTTCTTTTTCTTTAATATATATTTTTAAAATTAAATACGACTATCATATGTAACGCAATAAAATAGCTCTTTCATGTTCGAAATAACTGGAGAAGTTACGTTTATATGGGATTCCGATTTTGATTGCTTTTCTCTATCGATGTGAATTTGATAAAGAAGACAAGGCTAATGTCTATTTTTTAAATGGGTTCTCTTTACGTATGCGTGATCTACGAAGGGGAAATGTCCAATAAGTAGTTTTGTATAATATTTATTAACACATGGATACATATTAATGTCACTATTTTCTATGGAATTCTTGTATTAGATGCGTACAATCGATAGTAAGTTACCTATCGGCGATTTTATCGCGATACCGTTGGACATGGTGCAAATTTTCAACCTCCCTCACTCTTTCTCTCCTACCCTTCCTGGTGCAACAGGTCGTATCTACTGCATTTTAGTCTTTTCTAGTCGACTCTTTTGCGCGGATTTGCATATCTCCGTCGTGTTGTATCCTTCCCATTTGTTTTTCTAATCTCTTTTAAGTAAATTAGCATCGGTTAGCATATCTTACCAATATGCGTGTAAAACATTCGCGATTATAATCGCAAATGCGAGTATAGCTTGCGCTTTATTACACGTATTCTCTTCCTTTGAGAAAATTTCCTCGCCGCGTTTATTCGCGGATCTATTTAATTGAGAATATATTGAGAATTGATAATAAAGTGTTAATGCTTTTCTAATTAACTTTGGTAAATTCTACATCAAAATGATAACGTCTGTCATTTTATTTTTAGATTTGATTATTCCATACAAAATACAGACCATATAAGAAGCACCTTTTGTTAATCTTTATTCTATTTATTTAAAAAATATATATTTTATACTGTTTTTTAAAATAAAACATTATCGTCACACTTTTTTTAACTCGAAAATTAGTATAACATAAATCAACAATTTCATTTTCGAAGAAAAAAACCACGTATTATCTTAAGATTAATTTGATTAATCATGCTATTTTGATTTGATACATGAATATTCAGTTAAAATGAAGAGTATACTACTAAAAAAATTTGTAAATGACGGATTTATATTAATAAATGCGCGAGTAAATAAAAACGAATAGGTAACACATCTTGTTGTTACCTATTCGTTGAATTGATTGAGATAACCATACACAACATTATATTGATCGTGAATTATACGGATCATCGATCACAATCTATGCAATTGATGCAGCAAAAAAATCGATCGGGAAAATACGCTAATTTTATATAGTCCAATTTTTCATTTTTCTTACCAGCACACATCCTAATATTAAGAGTATATAATTAATTACAGAGTGTTTAATTTTTCTAAACAAAGTCTCACAATGTATATTTATTAAAAAAATAATCACTATTAAAAACTACGAGAATTTTGTTTACTTACAAACAATTTGGATGTTTTCATTATAAGCAATAATATTTTTTAAGAAATTTTATAAGAAATAATATTTTTTAAAAAATTGCAAAGATTAATTTAAATTGTAGAAATTGTTATTATAAATATATATTAAAATATATTCGTAATATTTAAAAAACTTGTGTCACATTCTCTACTTGCAAATATTCTTTTCATTTTTTTCACAATCGAATCTCAAACGTGATTATTTGAATCATCGAAGTAATGTTCATAGAAATTTGCTTGCCATTTCAAGATAGAGAGAGTCGACGATAGAGTAACCTTATTCGTCAGGGAACGCTGTTACAACGATAATCAATATGATGCGCTCCATCTCGGCCTTCAACCGCAAATCACGTTCCATTATACGTCCTGATAATCGAACCTGCGAGAAAGATTTCGGGAATTCTCTTCCGCGTACCCCCGAGGTCGTCGTGTTCGGATATGCCTCTCTTGCGGTTTCATACCAGTTTAAAAACTTTACAACGAGTCGGCTGCGGTCGACGTACAGGCGTATATAACATGTCTAAAATACGCATTCTTCGATCACCGTGTGCATGTTGTTCTGATGTAACTCTGAATTGCATCCTGATCGTTCTAATCTAACATTTTACGATACATTATATCATGAAACGAAATCAAATCTTGCAATAATAAAAAAAAAT